AGTGAGACACACAATTTTGATTGGTCCTACAAATGTGTACATACCCCTAAAGTATCATGCTGAACTGAGGTCACAATTATTTCAGAGAAAATCCATTAAAAGATCAATTGAGTGATTTTGGTCTGGGGACAGGGAATTAGCTGTGGTAGTCTGAAGTCAAGTGGAAGACAGAGTAGATGTGTACTTACCACTGGCATAACTGAGCGTGTGTAGATGAAACAGGGGCCCTAAATTGAAGTGGTGGGTTTTTAAAAACACCACTTAAATTTAGGACCCTTTAAACCTCCATGTTGTGCACACACTAACTTGTTACCTGCCTCTTCAATGGCAGGGAGGGGAGAGAGAGCTGCCAGTGAGTGGAGTGGTCCCTGAGCCATGGGGGGAGCTGGTGTTTCCCTCCGCACCAGCGGCAGCCCCTCCCCACAGGTGGCACCCACCTGCGGGCACCTAGCTCAGGTGGTCCTGGGGAGCACCACAGCTGTGGAGGGAAGCACTGGGTCCCCATGCAGCTCATGCATGCAGGCAGGCTCCAGGGGGAAAAAAAAAAAAAGATCAGGCTTGTCACTTTTCTTGGGCAGAGCCTGCTTTTCTGGGCAGCTGCAGAGCTTCCTGCAGAGCCCCTGAGCTGCACGGATCCCAGTGCTTCACTTCGTGGCTATAGGGGAGCCTAAGAGGAGTTTTAATTTGCTGCACCCCAAGTCATTTAAGGTGCATTACACTGCCAAATTTCCTACAGTGGCTGGAATTAATGCGCAATACACTGTTGACGCATGCAGACGACGACACCATTAAAGTGGTGCAAAAGCATTTTAACTACTTTAAAGTGTCATGCACACATGCCCGTTGTTTCATCTACACACAGCCACTGAGTGCAGAATTTGACTTCTTATAGTTACCTTGCAGACAATAATGCTGTGGTACCCAGAGGTATGTATTCTCATATATTTATTAAGGGTCTTTAGAAAATATTCCTTAGTTACCTGAGAGGCCACCTGAAAATTTTGTGGTAGATTTTTAAGTGACATTGCTTCACCTGGTTTGCATAAATCTGTAAGCTAATGGACTGACACTGTAGCTCTTATGCTTGTGAATTAAGGCTCCATTGCGGGTAAGAGCCTGTCCCGCATCCTCCTGAACTGCCTTCATCCCATCGCCAAGGAGATTGTTCCAGAAACCCAGTGCAGCCTGTGACCATCCCGGGACACTGCAGACATGGTTTACATTGCCAGGCAGATGCAAGAAAAAAGTTGGGAGCAAAATCAAGAACTGTTCCTTGCCTACATTGACCTGACCAAGGCATTTGAGTCCTTAAATCGTGAAGCTCTGTGGACCATCCTCCAATGCCTTGGCTGCCCGCTGAAGTTTGTCACCATGCGGAGGCTCGTGCATGACAATATGACCGCCACTGTCCTGAGTGAAAATCCCACCCCCCCATGCAACATGTCCCCATTGCTGAAGAACATGTGCATCCAGAATCACGCTCCTCAGACACCTGAGGACTCATCAAGCCTGATGGATGTCATCCTCGATTTTGAGGGACTGCCACTGCTGCTGACTATAGCTTTTATGCTTTTGAGATAAGGCTGCTGGCCTGGTCCATTTTTGTACAAGAAACCCAAAATCAAGGAAAATAATTTGTATATTTCATTTAAGAAAGCTATTTTGAATTATGGGAATATTACAAATGCTATCCGAAGTTATATGGAGCCTTTTTAAAGTGTGGTAGGTGCCTGCAAACCTGCTGCAGGGTTTCTGCAGATTCCCTGCAGGGACTAGGAGGATTTTTTTTCGTCTCACGAATGGTTTATTGGCTTCTGCTCCTGTTCTCCCCTTTCCCTGAACATTATTCTGCAGCACTAGACACTGCCCACAGCTAAGGCTGGGGGCTTTGACTGGGGAGCACCATTGCTCTTCTTGTTACTTATAAACCTTTCAAGTACCTTGCTAAATGGCTTTGTTTTCCTGCTCAGAATCTAAATGTTCACCAAATTTAGGATCAGGAAGGAATCTGTACTCAACAGATTGACAAGGAGGTGCGGGGGAAGGCAGCGGGGCAGAAATGTTGCCTTCTTCTGTAATGTGGAGCACAGTCCTTTACCTAGGATCCTCTGAACATATGTTATTAACATAATACTTTTCTGCCACTGCATTGGCAGGGCATTGGTACAGCCCTTGTCCCTTCTGCGTGTTTACTTGTAGTATGTGGTAAGTTATCTCAGTGTTTCTAACTTTGTGTCTTGTGATTGTGGTGTGTCAAAATCGGAAGTGAATGATCTTTAGGAATCTTAGAGCAAATGGTTGCCTGTGAACACAGAGGACTAGAATAAAATACTTGAGAGACCCCTTCCAGTCTTACAGTCCTACTACTCCACTATTTAACATACACCCATGCTCTCCATGAAACAATTATTATCCTTGCTCTTTCTCCCTCTTGCCTACCCTTTTAGTAATATAGTAAAAATAGAGTAAAATAATATAACACATGAACAAAGAGTTTTTAAACTAAGTTAGAAACCTCTAAAAACAGAAGTTCATCAGAGCTTTCATCTCTGATAGACTTTGAACTAAAGAAATGCAATTGATATCATATATCAATATATGACATTTTATGGACTGGGGAGAGGTCCACAGATCACATATTTCATTCAATATATATTTACAAAGTACTTATATATATATTTTATGAAAAGTAATTTCACATACAATTTTGCCCCTTACTTTTCATCTGAGATACATATTTTGGACTCTATACATTATAGGTCTTGTGAAATTAACTGCTTAACTTTGCTGTTATCTAGAGAGCAGTTACACACACAAAGTAGCTATCATGTCAAAAAAAGCTTCAACCAGCTATAAAGTTAGACCTCAAAAACATGTACTAACTTTATAGCTGGTTGCTATCAAGCTTTAATTTGCACATGTAGCAGAATCTCCCCAGTGGTTGGGAGCCCATCAGCTGATGCTCATTGTAAAACTCTTGAGCTCCAGGAATCACAGCAGCCAGATCCCCAGAATCCAAGGGTGTGGGAAACACCTGGACCCTGGGGATCATGGCTGCCATGATCCCTAGGGCTCAAGAATGCATGAAATCCCTGGGGCAAGGGTCCTGGCTGCCATAATCCTTAGGGCTTGGGGTATGTGAAACCATTGGGGCCAAAGGATCCCTGCAGTGGCAGGGAGATCATCACAGTGGGAATCCTCCACCCTTAGGGACACATGGGGTGCCTCTGCAACTGGGAGCTCCTTAACTGAGGGGGACTCCCAGCTGTGGGAGCTTGTTTCTTGCTGGTACAGGGCTAGCCTGGGATCAGGCTCCTCCTGCACCAGCGATAAGGTGTGATGGGAGCTAATATAGGATACCATAATTGCGCCTCCTGCCATGCAATGGGCAAGACACCAAAATCTATGTAGTAATTTAACATCAGTCACATAGTTTTAAAAAGAGTGAACACTGCTAAGGCTCTGTGAAGAACTAACCCTTGTGAAAAATTACAGAAGGCTTTATTTTGTTTCCTGATAGAAAATGTGAAAAATTTTGACACCTGAAAAAGTTTTACAGGATGGGAAAAAACTCTCTTTCATTTAGAGCAGTAGTTTCCAACCTTTCTGGGTAGGAGATCACTTTTTGAATTAAAAAGCAACCCAAGATCTACCCAATGCTGCTGCTCCTTCCCCTCCCCCCACCGTAGGTCAGTCTGTGGGCAGGGAAGGGGGCATATTGAGGTGGAGGGAGAAAACATTTTGGGGTGGTTGCCCCCTCCCCCAGCAGGGGAAGGGGTGGGGGAAGGGCTGGGGGGGCGCAGATCTAGGCCCCAGCATTGAGGGAGGGAGCAGGGCACAGGCAGGAGCAGGGGCTGGGGGGAGTGGGCCTGGCTGGACCGGGTGGTAGGACACATGCCCCCCAGGCCTCTGTTTGTCACCTGTTCACCCCAGGCCCTGCTCTTACTTGTGCCCTGCTCCCTCCCTCACTACTGGGGCTTTGATCTGCCCCCTGGCCCCCTACCCCCCCACACCAGTGAGTGAGGGAGTGGAGCAGGGGCAGGCCCTGCACAGCTAGGCAGTCCAGGAGGGCATGGGGGATCTCAGCCCCCGCAGACTGAGATCAACAGTCAGAGGCTCCACTATTGACCAGTCAACTGGGATTGACCAGTTGGTGACCGTTGATCTAGAGCCTACCTGATATCTATTTGATGCAGTTCTGAACTTTTGAATTTATATAAGCTTGATGGACCAAACAAAACCCTGCATCTAAATACTGAACCTGGAGAAAATTTTTTCCAGATCCAGTTCAATATTCAAAATATATGGTTAAATTCATTTGTAAGAAATCAATTAGGCCACAGTGTTCAAACTGGGTACTTACATTTAGTCTTCTAAATCCAAATTTAGATACTTATAGAAGAGTGACCTGATTTTTAGAGATGCTGAATACTTTCAACTCCCAGTGATTTCCATGAAAGCAGGAATCCTAAGGAGACATCTAGTAGTGGCTTAGACAGCATTTTTTTCACTGTAAAATGATGAGCAAATTGTGTCTCCTTAGTCTCCTTTCTTCATGGGAGAAAACATCTATTTTACTGGGAAAAAATTATCTTATTCTAAACTGGTTGGCTTTATATGCAAACCAGCTGAATATCCACCTTCTAGTGAGCATTCACCAAAATATGGTTCTTTGCTTTTCAAAGCCAGTGGAAATACAATTTTGGATTTGCTTCCATTGCACAAAATGGAATTTCATCTACATGAATGTGAATATTCTCTTACAAAGACAAACCTGTCTTGAAAATTTCTAATCATTAAGTATTTGTATGGTTAATTGCTGGAAGATTTTTTTATTGTTGTTGTTTTAGTTCTTAAACCCTGAAATAGGAGGCAAGTTTTGCTTATCTGCCTCAGCAACTACAGGTGATTCCAGGCCTTGTCAAAATATGTAGGCAAAAACTAAATCTTTCATTCAAACAAATGCCGAAACATTCCACCTCTAAACAACAGCTACTCACATGCAATGCGAACATAGGCCTTTCGGCTTTTGGTAGTGCCCGCAGAGCTCCAAGCAACACATTGGCACCAGTAATCTTCTGGTCCAAAGAGTTCCTCCACCTGCTGACGGGAAATCTCAATGCTGACTTCTCGAACAATCAAACCTGTTGGGATATAATTAATAACCCCAAGTGCATTAGAGTTGGTGAAGCTATTATTCAAAGCATTTTATAAATGTAATTTATTTATTTTATTATTGTTTTAATTTATTTTTATTCTCTTTCTCTGTTTATGTATATAATTCAGCATTTCAAATTTTTATGAAATTTTACTAGCAGCCTCACATCATATGACAATTTATATCAAAGTACAATATAGCTTACACTTTTGAAAATGAAGCATGGTTCCTTATCACACCATAAGGACTGTATAAGAGTATAAGGCTCCTCTTTTAAAACATTTTTTTATGTTCCAAAACACACATTTTGGAATTTGGATGGTTGGTCTGGAATGTTGATGGGACAATTCTTGTTCACAGTGCAGTAGTTTCTTTCATTGGAAAAGAACAGCTGTGGTCTACAAATAATGATCTTCAAGATTGCTGTATATTCATTACAAGCTGTAGTATTTTGGACCATTACTGTGGAGTGCTAGTGTTTCTTTCAGAAGTGCCTACAGTACTATATGGTACAGCTCTGTCCTCTAAAATTACCCCCAAATATGGCCTGCCACAGACCCTCCATACAATTTTTTAAATGCGCCTCTCACAAATCCACAATGATGATAACACAGTCACCATCATTACAAGGCCAACGATTACCCACAGTTACCCCATGATGCTATCTGACAGGCACCATTATTCCCTAATCCACCTACATGGAAATATTGTGGTATCTCAGATGCCACTGTGATAAATGTTGGTAAGATACTGATTATTTCATAGCAATGATAATAGGCGGTGTTTTGAAAAACCCCATCCCCAGGCTCAGAATTCACAGCCTCCATGAAAATGGTCTTCATTTTTAAAGGGACAGGCAAGGTAGAGGGGAAATATGCACATACCACTTGTTAAGGCATTTACAATGCATTGCTGATGCCAGTCTCAAAAAACTTGTAGCAAAGGTACATCCACAGAAAATGCTATCACTATTTCAAAAACTCTGTCCAACAAAGAGCCTTAAGTATATAAACCCCACACATAAATACTCTTTGTAGTGTGACTGATTTTCTTTTTCCTTACAGTCATGCCAGGAAACTTAATTAAAAGATACTTAGATTTCAGCATGCACAGTTTGTCCCCATCATGAACACTAACGCTCGGTTCTGAGTCTTTCAACTGAACACAAAATTAAGCACTTTCAAGCCAGCTACTTCTAGCCTCCTGCCACATGGATTACAAGGTGATATTCATAACGTGAATGTTCCCAATTGTACAGCACGAAGTGCCTTGCAAGCTCTGGAAACCAAGCAGGCCCTTTGATTTTGCCTTCAGTTCACAGCATCTCCATTCAGGAAGCCAACGATTAATTACTGTTTGTGCACAGTTGTATACTGTCATTTATGCTGCATGCTGTTTGCATTCAAAACTTGGTTAACAACATAATGACAAAAAGGAATTGAAGCATGTAAAATATCAGAGGGATTTCTGGTGAGAACACTTTATAATGAGATGCATTTTCTTGCTAAAGGCTGGATAGCCTATCACCTTTTTGGTTTCATTATCGTTGACATTTTTGCCCATCAAATTATTAGCTACTTTTGAGAAAATACATACTAGCATTTGTCTTCGAAATTAAATACTCAAACTATATGTACTGTACTCCAAAGAACTAAAATCAAAAGATAGTATAGATATATGAAAATGTAGCAATTGCCAGCTCTTAACTCTGCTCTGCTTTGAGAAGCTTATTTTGTTCCCAAAGTGGTTTCAGGGTTGCTCTTTGTCCTCTAGGAAGGAGGAGGAGAAAACATGCTTATCTGAACAGACTATGCTCAAGAATGATCATGTTTTTGTACAGCAACTGCTGCTAAACGTCTTCCTTCAGCTCAATCCCATTCTTCATAGCACTGGCCCTGGGAACCTAAGAGTTTGAAGGGTACAGTATTATGTTTTCATAATACGGCTGATTATAAAATAATTTAATGGAGCAGGAAACTTTTTTATTTACTCAAAACCAAGACATGTCCCCCTATCCTGAATTTAACATGGGGAAAAAAGCCCCTTGTCTTGGATTCAAGTATGAGGTGGGGATGGGGACAGAGAAGGGTAGGGCTCAAGGCTAAAGCCATGGCCACAGCTGTTGCCTGCCCTTCCACTGCCTCTGCCCTCCCCATCCAAGCTGCCTATTCTTGCTCTGGTTTTGGCTATGGCCCCACTCAAGCCTGGGGCATGGAGGATGTATTTGCTTTGATTCTAGCTCTCCTGGAAGCAATAGAAGTGGTAGACAGGAGCAAACACATGGTTTTTGCCCAAGGCTGGAGCAGGGCTGGAGCTGGAGCCTGCTGGAGCTTGAGCAAGGGTAACCAGCAGCAGGCGGGCCAATGTGTGTGTGGGGGGCAAAGGCAAGGGGGTCCCGAGGATCAGGGGAGCAGGCACAGGGGTAGCAGGCACAAAGGGGGTGGAGAGGTGGCAGGGGCAAGGTGTGGAGGGACAAGGAGCAGAGGTCAAGCTGCTGAACCCCCCTCACCTTCCCCAACACCGTTCCCTTAAAATCTGCCTCTCTACCCACTACCAATGCCTGTCCCCCAACACTGTCTGTTCCAGGGGCGATGGGTAGGGGGTGCATGCGGGTGCATGTGCACCCCCTGAGTGTGGTAGTGCATCCCCTACAAAAAGGCACTGTCAACACTGTCAATGGCACCTGCGGTTGGTTGCCACTCGCTACCCCATTGCCAACACCACCAGCGGCGTCTGCGGGCAGTCTGTGATCTCCGCTGGCCACCACCAATGCTTCTGGTGGTGTCTGTGGGTGGTCGCTGACTCCTGGTCAGTGCTCACCACTCCCCCCCACCACCAATAGCTCCCCCGCTTACTGCTACCATGCT